GAAGCAACAAAGAGCCGTCAGGTGCTCCAAATAAACCTTAGACTCAACGTTAGAGCAGGCTTTTCCTCGCAGCACGCCGTGTAATAAATCCTCACAAAGACAACGGCGGCTGTTACAACTTATGTGTAAAAATGTATCGTTTCATGCATCGGTCAAAACACTCGACTCCAGGTACACGACGCCCAGCTGGGAACACTTCTTCTTATATCGGGATTTGAGATTTTAGTCATATCGCACAGCCCTATCTCATATGTCTCAAATAAAGACGATATTCCCAGACACAGCACAGCACGTGCTCGGAAGAGTCGAATGTTTCAAGTATTTTGACAGTTTGCACGTTTTCAGCATTAATTGACAGAAACTTTGGTGCTACTTTGTTAAAATGATGAAGCTGAAAAGTTTTGTGCCCACGTCCGTGAGCTATAAGCTTCTCGTGACTGTTAAACGCTCTTTTGCTGGAAAGCTGCAGAACTCAGTGAAGGCGCTGAATTATTGATAATATGCATTTTTTTAAATTAAAAACCCAGAAAGAAGAGTAGTTTGGGGGTGTCTTCCTATTATAAGGAGCTGTATATTATGATGTGGACATTTAGCTAACAAGGGGAGAAGCTCATTTTTCATTTACCCGTCACTTTGATGTGGGCCTCGCTGTGTCAGCCATTTAAATGTGCCGACAGGAAACCGTGGGAAACAAGGTCGTTTTAATGCGAGCGCCACGTGGCTTCGAGGTGTCGGCGCAGAAACGATTGGACCGTAAAAGCGAGCGGAAACCTTGAAGCTTCCTCTGATCATTCGCTCTGTGGGTGAATTATGCGGCCGGCTGCATGGACGTGTAATGGCAATATGTTCACGTCAGGATGGATTGTTATGGTAGGATGGATTTTCTGCACCGGCGCCGGAGTTTCCTCCCTGCAGCACATGGCGGGTGACTGATGTCTTACAAAGCCCGGTGGAGGCAGACCGCCGTGGTTAATAAGATGTAACGTACACGGAGGCCGTGGACGCTCCTTTATGTGAGGAGGCTGCAGCTCTGTGGTTGCTGCTCTTTACGTTGCCCGAGAAGTGTCCAAGCAGTCTCTTACTGTTAGACGCTGCTATTCTCATCATGTCTCACCTGTTCTTGATTATCCTCCATCCTCCTTTCCCAGGTTCCTGCTCTGTCACTCCAACCCTCTGCGTGCCATCAATCTTCTCCGTGGTCTTCGTCGTTCCTCCTCCCTCGCAGCCGTCTCCATTTTCCAGTCATCGCTCCTCCTTTCAGAGTTCCTTCTCTCACCTTTACACTCCTGCCCTTCCTTTCTCTCTCGCTGCCTCCTACGATGCCTTCCCCCTCTCCTCTTCCTCTGTGTGCCAGCAGTAGCACCACCGCCGCCCTGTTGGCCAACAGCACTGGACAAAGTTAGCCTGACTCTTTCCACATTTCCCAAATACACCAGATCTAAAAGTCGCTGCCTAACTGTGAAGCACAAACCCAGCTGTGAACACGATGATGTGACTGACAGCATTTCCATCTCCAGCACTTCTGTGAAATGATTTCTGTGATGTGCATGGGGCAGATGCTGCAGAGAGCCGAGCTGCTGCTCTGCTCGTTTCTCACTATCAGGGGACAAATAAAGCTAGCAATTCCCCAAATGCTCCAGTAGTCCTTTAGCCTGAGTCAAGAACTGACCTTATTGTGTAATTTATAAATGTACATGTGATTATTTTATCGTCCGGTTGAGCTTCTCGGGTTGTACAGTGTGCCTGCTGTCAGTATTTGTCTCCATGGCTGCAGACAGATTTCCCTCAGGGAGAAATTGAGTTAAACCTGAATGTTGTCCAAACACCAAATACACCTGTGGGTTGTTGTCCGTCCTGCTCCACCGTGTTTCCCTTTGTCAATGCGCTGCTGGTAAAACCCTATCAGCCCTATTCTGCTGATGGCTGTTTAGCCTCTGATTAGTTAACTGTCAGCGCCCAGTGACAGCAAACAGCCACCTTTTAAACCGCTTCATGGAACGGGCTGCATAGTTTTCATAAATTGCATAGTTACGTCACATATATAAGAGACGTTTCACCCCAATATTTAATAGACTTTTCTGTGAGTTTCGGACGTATTGGCTGTAGGTACGTCTCCCTTCTCTACAATATAATGAAGCTAAATTGCTGTTGCTGTGTGCTGCCCAGCAGCATGACCACCAAACACGACTCGGTTACTCCGAAAAAGCTGTAAAAAAAAGCTTGAAAGTTAAACTTGAGCTACATGAACATCAAACACACTGTTTGGCCCGTTTGGTCTGTGCGTCCCTGCAGACCTGCTGATCAGGTTGATGTTGTGGCTCTGTGAGCTGCAGGGATGCTGGCTGCAGGTCGAGAATCAGTTCGTGTACCGCTGCGCTCGCCCAGCACTGAAAAGCAGCAGCTGCAGTCCAGAGGTTGGAAGTCCGCAGACCTGACGAGCCAGCTCGTTAGTCCGTCTGCAGCAACCACAGTGCGATTCTGTTAGAACCTGAGTGCACAGAAGTCTCCCTTAAACATCTCCTGCAGGTTTTTCTGTCTTCTTTGCTGCAAACTGCTTAAACTGGAACTCGAGTGCAAGTTTGCAAGCGAGATGATGGCAGTTTGTTTACTTCCACCTACAACTTGGATTCTTCTGTGTGGAGCCAAGAAATCAGTTTTTCTTGGGAGCGTTTCATACTAACAGGGTTTCTGCAGTCTGTCTGCTGGTATGTTGGGAAAGTGTTCCTGCGCCTCTTCGCCTCACAGTACTGAAAAAGCTTCCTGGTATTGACATGCAGTATGCTGGTAAACTGCCACGTTGCATTGAGACGTTGAATTAGAGGGAGAAACAGATTAGCTTTTTTAATCCCTGAATGTGTTCACGCGGCCTCGCCGACACTCTCTGAAAGCGTGGAGGCAGAGTACAGTGTGCTTTGATGATGTTTCATCTGAATTCTTGTGATGTGGAGGTAATAGCTGTGGCAGATCTCCAGAGTGAGGACGGCCGATGTGGAGGCGAGGCTGTTAGCTGTTAGCTGAAGGCAGCGGTGCATGGCTGCCGCCGCCGTCGCCAGCTGCTCGGTCATTTCACGCCTGTCTGGGCTTCCTGGAGCGCACCAGCAGAGTGGATGAAAAACTCTGTCAGGAGGGGAACGGGCTCAGCGTGATGTGTTTTCAGCGTTCGCTGTCGCCAAACCTGCGATAAGAACTCGCAAAAGGACGACTTAATATAAGATAAGATAAGATAGAACTTTATTAATCCCTCGGGTGGGTTCCTCTGGGAAATTCGACTTCTTTCTGTGGCGAGTTTTCGTCAGTCAGGGTCGTTGGTTTACCCGCAGCAGGCAGGGCCGTCTCTTAATTTGGAAAGTATAACACATTTTTCTAAAGAATGCAAGCAGCAACCATTTAGATCAGGTTTCACACACACGACTCCAAATATCATATAACGTTTCAAATATAATGGTTAAGGCAGATTTTAGATGAATATTTGTCTCCACCAGCAGCTCGAGTCTTTGTGCTTTTCACTTTAATGGCGCACAAAAGCATCAGTATCAAACATTGCAGAACAGCACTACCCCGTGTTGTGTGCTGCGGGGCTCATTGTTCTTGCATCTTTATGACCTGTTGCATGTTTGTTTCCAGTCCTGCTGCAGGTTTCATCTGCATGAGTGCTTCTGCTTGATGCTTTCAGACAGTTTTGGAGGTATAACTGGATATGTGCATGACCTTGGCACAAGCATTGTTACAACAGCTTTACTTATTGTAAGAATGCTTCTTGTCAGTGACTCTTGTGCGACTGGAAACCTCCCTCTTGTTTCGTTTATCAGCATTTTCTAAATTGCCTGATTTGCATTTTCTTTGTCACAAACTACAATTTTGGTTTTTGCAAATCTTTTTGATCTATGAAACCTTCACCACATTTTTTCTTGTTAATTGAGAATTTTGATGCCATTTTCCCTTGAATTTCATGCTCCCCTAATGTGATGTCAGTCATGTGGAAAACATCCATTTTCAGGTCAATGACTGATTTCAGTGTATCTGAAAGGTTTCACATGTACTTTTCACTTAACACACCGTATTTACCTTTTTGCTTCCAGGTCTTTCTCTTAGGGGTGGGGAAAAAATCGATTCTGTGTAGTATCGTGATATTCTGTTTGCTACTAATGTATCGATACAGGGACAGCAGAAATCGATATTTTGTTACAAAAAAGGTTTCTGTGCTCTGACTTCAGAGCATGTTATGGAAGCCCGTTTCCGCCACTAAAAAAAAAAAAAGGATCCATAACTCGAAATTTTGAGTTATTATCTCAAAATTCAGAGTTATTTTAACTCGAAATTTAAATTTCGACATATTAACTCAAAATTTTGAGAAAAGCAACTCAAAATTTCGAGTTAGCGCTGCCAATCAGTAATCTACGTGAATGACGTCATTTCCTTGTTACCCGGAAGCTGAAGCCCTCAGCTACAAATGCTACAGCTAAGCTACCAGCATTACATCCAGTCGTGAATGCACAGATTGCTGAGTGTTTTCAGCCTGGCTTCACAAATGATGAAATCCCCGTGTTATTAGCTGAATCACATGGTGTTGCTATCAGCAAACGTACTCACATTCAGTTAAGTTGGACTAGACTGTAATACAAACCGTTCAGTTTGTCAACAATAAAACTGAAATGAGAGAAAGACTGAGTGCGAGACTTTGATATTAGATAAAATGAATATTGATAAAGTTTACCTTTATGTACAGAATCTGAATATCGCAAAATATTTTTAAAAATTGCAATAATATCGTATCGTGCGTTAAGTATTGTGATAATATCGTATCGTGGGATTTATGGTGATTCCCACCTCTACTTTCTCTGGTGTGTTTCTATTAATCTCCCACTGCTGCATTGCCCCGCCTCCCCGCAGAGATCAATAAAGTTTAATCTAACGTAGTCTAATCTGAGCGCTGTTTATTTTCCTGCGTGTTGTCGCGGTAACGTCGACTTCCCGCTCTCATGTTCTTCTTCCCTGTCCAGATCTGCGATGTCTCAGCAGGCCACGGCGGGGCGACGCTGCCTGCGAGCGTTCGTTAGCGGATTCTTCGTCGCCGTCCCCGTAACCGTCACCTTCCTCGATCGATTCGCCTACGTGGCACGAGTGGAGGGATCATCGATGCAGGTGAGATATCACAGCACATCCGCTTATCAGGGAGAAGCTCACAGCGTCTGCTCGCAGAGGTCAACGGGAGGGGAAGCCGCACTCTCTGGATGTCTGACTTTACAGATAAAGAGCAGGTCAGAGGTCGGAGCATCGTCACAGCGTGCTGAGGATTAGGAAGTATGAAGCCTGGAAAGCAGGTTTCTAACTGAAAACTCACTCCGGACCATTTTTTAGCTGGAAGCTGCTCACGTCCTGCTTACAGCCCAGATTCTGCGTTTCTCTTCTTCCTAGCACAGCGTCCAGTTTGGCAGCTGATGGCCGTAAAGTTTGAGTTTTAATAAGCATGAATTCAAATTTCAGTGACTCCAATAAGAAATGTAAATCTAAATGTTGGGTTTTATTTAAGCTTGACCTGTTCTGTGATTAATATCGCTGTTATATCAAAATGGTATTTTGTGTTATTGATCGTTACTGGGAGACAGATTCAGAATCGCTGCTTTATTCTCGTCGCGGTTTAAAACAAAGTTTCTAATGTTTTACATATCGAAACATGATGCAAATCATCTGGTTTGAATGCTGACACTTTTACACTCTGTCGTTATTTATGAAGCCAAACATAGAAGCAGGAAAGTGTGGAAAACGAAATACAGCGAGGAATTAAGAGGTTGGTTCATCAGCCGGTGCTGCTGATCACACGCTCACACCAAGGAAAAACATTCACCAGTCCTCCCAGGAGTGGACGTCCAAAAGCCAAGAGTCCCATCTGAGACTCCACAGCCTCAGTTTGCATGTTAAAGGTCACGAAAGTATTTCGTGTTTGTAAGGTTTCTTTCATAAAAAGACAAGGAATTAAATAAATACAATGAACAGAAGATACGATCGTTAGAGTTTTTATGTTCTTTCAATGCAGGGTTTCATCAACTAACAAAATCCAGTTTTACACACAGTAAACATTCACTGTCAACATGACACACATGTAGAAAGAAACAGAACTGGCCAATGTGTGGCGTCAAATCCAAAATGAGCAAAATATTCCTCATTTCATTATTTAATCCTTCAGTGGAGTCATGCTCAGAAGTCTCCATCCACTCCTTGGCAAAGTGGTGACACATCTGAATTAGAGCCAAACTGTCAATGTTCAGGACCCACCCAGGATCAAGCCTGCTGTGGACTGGAATCTGCTGGAACACCAGTGTCACTTCCACAGTGAAGCCAGTCTCACATCTCCAAGGACTAAGAAAGAAGCTCCTGCTCCAAAATCAACGAGCTCAACTGAAATCTGCCCACATGGACGAGCCAAATGGCCTCTGGAGAAAAGTTTGATGGTCAGACGAGACAAAGATGGAGCTGATTGGAGGAGCAAAGGTGAGGCTTTCAACCCTGAGAACACTGCAGCTGTGACGCATGGCGGTGGTAGCATCACGCTCTGGGCTGTTTCACTGCCAGTGGTGCAGGTACACAGTATAATGTTGGTGAAATCATGAAGAAAGAGGACTACATACACATTCTTCACATTCTTCTATGTATTCTTTAAATACATAGAAGGTTGAACCTTGGATGTAGTTGGGTGTTCCTGCAGGACAACGATCCCGAACAACCATCAAAACTGATTTTGGAATGAAAGCAGAATAACATCAAGCTTCAGGAACGGCATTCCCAAAAGCCAAAAGTTTGTGGAGCACAGGAGGAAAACCAACCAACTAAATGACTCTACCAGTCCGTCCAAGAAGAGCGGCCAAATATCAGCCAGCAAGCTGGAAGCTTGTTGTTGGATCCCAAAAGCATCTGGCAGAGATGTAAGTGGCTAAGAGGCATTTAACCAAATATCAGGGGTGTATGTATATATTTGAGCCTGTGTGTATACTTGTGTGTGTGTGTGTGGATTGGTTCTGGTTTATCAAAGCCATTGGAGATGTATGCTGTACAATCATTCCACACTGGAAAAAGACCAGTTGATGTCAGAAGAAATGAGCCAGTTCCAGGATTGATGAGTTTCTCTGAGTTAATGTTACGCAGTAGTGTGGAACGTCTTTCAGAGCTAAACTCAGGGAGTCCAAAGGATTTTAGCGAACAATGAAAGAGATTTTTTCCTTCTTCATTCACACATGCTCTGCTGAGCTTCTGTAGTGCACCGCATCACATTTCGTGGGAGAAACAAAGACAGAACTTTAAGTCACGACCTGCTTCCCTGCTTGGCAAAGAGGGAAGTATTATATTTAAAGGTTGCAGACAGTGCGGGTGGCTGCAAACATCAGCGTTCACAGATGCAGGCCTCTTCATCCAAACCGTAAATAAAGCTGCTCTCCTCTCACATGAGGAGTCTGCTGGGTTTTGACCGACTTGTTTCCTGTCGTGCAGCTCATTATCCCTGACATGTGTTGCATTATACATAAAACAATCTGCTGTCTATTTTTAATGAGCATGAATTTTAAAGCTGCGTGTCGCTCTTCGCTGCGTGTTGTAGAGTCTTGTAGCTGCTTTCGCCCGGGTCGTGACAGCGACCTGAGAATCCAATCAAATCTTAAAGCATTAGAAATAAAACCATGCAGCGGTGTTGGATGAAGGGAGTGGTTGAATAAATGAGATGTTTACACTCACTGTTTCTATCCTCAGAGAGAACAGAGCTCCTGCTCTGCTTTGGGCTTTAATCTGTTGACGTCATGCTTTGATCCATTGGGAATTTGTCTCTGTGAAGCCTCAGCGAGGAACAAGAAGGAAAGAAATGGAACAAAAAGTACTTATTCCCTGGATAAGTAGAGAGAAAGTTACAATGACCTGAGCAGTAAAATCATACACTGCAGGCTGCTTTGGTATGGAGTGTATTCGTCTGCAGACTTTCTAATGGCCAGCAGGGGGCGAAAAGACGTTTGGTTGTGTAGAAGCCAGCTATCTGTTTGTATCATATCTATGTAATAGACTCCGATTTGTTCACACACTGAGGTTAATTATGGAGTTCCACAGGGTTCAGTGCTAGGACCAATTCTGTTTACATTATACATGCTTCCCTTAGGCAGCATCATTAGAAGACATAGCAGACATAGTCACTGCATACACTTTTTCTGACAACATAAAGCAAAGAGGAAAACCAGCCCAAAGAGAGCAGTCGTCATGGTGATTCTACTGTAGAAACATGAACAGGTAGGACAGAAGCTCATCCCTTCGTTACCTGTTGAGGTTCAGCAGCTGCTCACTTCATCACGGTGCTGGTCTGGGGTCAGCATTTACCCAGCTTTAACATCACTCTTGGCTAGCTTAGCGTTAGCATGCTGTCTGCATGTGCTTGCAAAGAGCTGAAGTTGTGTTAGCAGTGTAATGCAGCTGTGTCTGTCCTGGAGCAGTCTGCACTTTACCGTCGCGCTCTCGTCCTTTTGTGCAATTAAAAATAAAAGAACCACTTTTTGATTCCATCCCTACAGATGACACCCAGCTCTATCTGTCCATGAAGCCAGATAACACACACCACTGAGTTAAACTGCAGGAATGTCTTAAAGACAAAGACCTGGATGGCCGCTAACTTTCTGCTTCTTAATTCAGATCAAACTGAGGTTATTGTATTTGATGATGATTTACTTCAGAAACTTAAACAGGCACAACGGATGCTGCAGCCTGACTGCTCATCCATTTGTTACCTGTTGAAGTTCAGGGTCTGGCTGCTGGGCTGGGGTCGGCCTTCACTCTGGGTCTTAGCTAGCTGGCTAGCTTAGTGTTAGCATGCTGTCTGTGCAGATGCTTGCAAAGAGCTGAAATTGTGTTAGCAGTATAACTGGAAGTCCTGGATTTCTGTCCGTTATGGTGTCGTGTGATACAAGTGGTGGTGACTGTTTACCCAGTTTTAGCTGTGGGACAGACGGCCTCACATCTGACTCTAAAATGTTTTGGTATACCGAGGAGTTCATGGTCCTTTCAGTGACTGCACCGAGCCCAAAGCACCATCCCTCCACCATTGTGATGATAACTGTTTCATTTCCTCCAAATGTGCAGCTGTTCATGCCGCTGTTTGTTCCAGAAGTCTTGTGGTTTCTTCATTAATTTGTTCTTTTTAGAGAGAAGCAAGCCATACTTGTTCAGTCTTCTTCTATTTGTACGCTCATGAACTTTAACCTTTAACATGCTAACTGAGTTAGAGTCTGAGATGGAGCTCTTGGGTCTCTCTGCAGGTTCACTGAGCACTGCATGATTTGAAGTTGGGTAGACTTGCTAGAACCTCAATTCCTGGAATGATTCTAGCATTGTGCTAACAATCCAGAATGATATTGGCCTTTAAGGTTTGACACAGAAGTTGCAGGGTAGTTTCTCTGAAGCCTCAAAAAGGCTAAATGAAACTAATATAGTCAAAAAAGTCCAATCCATGTGTTTCCAAAGCTGTCTAGTTTCATAGCTACCCTGTGTAGGACCAATATGCCATATATTCTGGATAAATGTAGACTTTCTATGAACCAAAAAAAATGGTTGTCTGAGAAATCCATGTCAAACCACTCGGCTCCATTCGCTCCAGCAGAAAATGTTTGCCTTCTGGTTGAATTCAGATGCTATAATGACATTTTACTGGTAAGATACAAGGGAGTAACGATACAAAAACTCGGCCGCAGAATGAAATGTCAGCGCTCGACTGCCGTGGAGTCTTAATGTGGCCGAGCTCCGTGATTCGTCGGTCAGGTCACGAGAGTTTGTTTGGTGAGTGAGGATGAGCGGCTGTGTCCCCGCTGCTCTGCGTTTACTGCAGAGCATGGCTCGCTCCTTCTTTTCACGACTATTGCATGAATTTCCCAGAGGAACCCACCTGAGGGATCAATGAAGTTTCATCTAATCTACTTTCACATCATTGTCATAAAATCACGTAGTTAAAGCCGTTTCTTTTCTTTTCTTTAGCCTCGCTGGTTAGCAGGACTCACTTCAGAAGTGAAGTTGCAGACAAAGTGATTTCATTGATCCTGCTGTTACAATGAAAGTGACCACCCACCCACCTACAGTGCCCTCACCAATCACAGCATTACGGCGCTCCACACAGACAAAATGCT